CCGGTGTTTTCCTTGGATTGGTGCCGTGGTGGGAGCTTGCCTGGACCTGGAGGAGATGCTGAGCTCGGCAGGGCTGATCCCCCTTCCATGGCCCCTTCCCTTTGCCTGCTCCCAGTTTCTTGGTATGATGGCCCAAACGATGTTCTCCTCCTGAGCAGGAAACGAGCATCCTCCTGGCTTCCACGGAGAGAAAAACCAGGAGCCTCTTCCCCTCTCTCATTTTATTTATATGGTTTGTGTTCATTTAAATCCCTCTCGCCCTGTTCAGACTCACCCAAACACCCTCTCCCCAGGTGTTCCTTGGAGTCAGGCACATGGGATACACCAAGGATTACAGCACTCCCCCAGTCTGCATTCCCTGGTTAAGCATTTTCCCAAAATTCAGGATTTTCCTGGCCCCTCTGGGAACAGGGACAGAAGTGAAGGGCCAGGAGCAACTCTTGGCTACATCCACAAAGGAAAAGCAAGGAAATCCCTAGAAAGGGAATCCTGGGAAGTGTGGCCTGGGGGACACCAGAGTCCCTCAGGAGCAGCACCCTGGGAGCCCCTGGGCCATTGACAGCCCTGGTGTCAGGTCACTGAGCTGCTGCTCTTCCAAGCATATTTGATCCAATATTCTCATTCTCATGGACACAAGCCCCAAGCCGGAGATTGTGGGAAGGAGAAGGGATGATGGAATACCAGGAGAGCAGCTCAGCAGAGCCTCCTCTGCACATGGAGACCATCAGGATGGGTCCTGTTGCCACAGGCAACAACTTGATTCTGATCCCAGTATTCCTGGGGTGTTTTTTTCCTTTCTGAAGTGTGAAGAGCATGGAAAGCCCAAAGGAATTCCCATTCCTGGGAAGCCAGCAGTGGATAGACACGGAGGAAGTGGATATGTGCTGATAGACCACATTTATAGGCAGATATGCTCATTATAGAACCTCAAATATACACAGTACCCCAATATAGACATCCACATATACACCCAGAGCCAATCCCGAGGGATGCTGGGAGTCAGGAATGAACAAGGGAGGGAGGTTGGTGTGGACATCCTGCTCCACCCAGCTCTGAGACCCCCTGGAACGCTGGCTTAGGGCAGGACAGGGGGAAAATCCCCATCCCTTCCTTGCTGAGATTAGTGTCACATTCCTCCTGCCTGTCCCTGCCTGCCCGAGGAGGTATGGCTTTGCCGAGGGCTGGCATGGGAAGAGCCAGGAATGGAGGAGAGCTCCAGAGGGATGGAGGATCGTGTTCATGCAGGAGAAGGGCTGAAGGGCTGATGCTGACAGGCAGCTCTTTGGCTCTGCCAACATTCCAAAGTTTTCTGGCACAAAACCCACCGCAAAGACCTTTCCCAGCAGAGCACAAGAAACTCATGACTTAAGTTTTCCTGCCTCTCCTAAAAATCCCAACCATTCCCCTCCAGCTGCCTCTTACACTTGGAAAATCCCTCAATATTTAATTTAAAGACAGCTTGAGCATCTATTTCCCATTTTGAACCCCTCAGGGCTGTTGCTTGGCATTATTTAGGTCCATCCTTCTCCAGTGCTTGCCGAAACCATCTGCTGGTTTAACTGACCTCTTCCTGCTTTCTCCATCCTGTGGCTCTTGTGGAGAAGTTTTCCCCATCCAGCTGAGGAAAGCACAAGAAACTGGGGGAAGGAGGTCTTGTGTAAGGAGCACCTGGAAATGCAGAGCCTGGATGGGGTGGGAGAACCGACAGCACTGGGTTTGTGCCGTTGCCTTGCGCCAGGTGAGATTTCCTGGTGTGATCCAACACCCCAGATCCTTCCTGACACCCCTCAGGGGGTGATTTTGCTGCTGACAGAAGGTGCAGATGGATATTCCAAGTCTTAAAGTGGCTGTTTCTTATCTCACAATTAACCCTGTCCCCCTCCCCAGAAATTCCCAAAGGTGCAAGACCACAGAGAAATGGACAGCCACGGATGGATGCAGTCAGCCATGGCTCTGAGGGTGCCTGATGGGTCCTTGCTTGCACATGTACTCAAAATATTTGATCTTTCAGGACCTTCAGCCCAAGAAGTTAGGGGTGGGGGCTGTTTTGTCAAGTTTCTTTGTGTTTGGATTGAGCACCTGGAGATATCACATCCTGGAACACTCCCAACCTCTCCGCACAGCGTCAACCTCTCTGCGTCACCAACATCTCTCCACGTCATCGTTGAAGATGACCCCCAAGAAGTCTTTTCCTGCTCAGATGGTGAGGAGAGGCACACAGCCTACCCCAACCCCTCCCTCATGGCACACCATGGGGGCCATAAACGTCCACCTGTTGGTCTCGGGGTCATACATCTCCACGGAGCTGAGGTTGGACTGTCCATCGTAGCCGCCCACCGCATACAACCGGCCACAGTTGGCGACGAGGGACACGCGGCTCCTCCGGGTGTTCATAGGGACAATGAGGTACCACTGGTCAGCCATGGAGCTGTAGACTTCAGCGATGCTCAGGAAGCCTGAGCCATCGTAGCCTCCACACACAAACATCTTGCTGCCCAGCGCAGCGGCGCCATGGCGGCAGCGCTTGTTGAGCATGCTGGAGACAGGGTGCCAGGTGGAGGTGTGGTGGTTGTAGTACTCCACCTGAGGGCACAGAGGACAGGTGGTGTGAGGGACAAACACTCTGCAACCACACAGTGAAACTCCCCCTGTGCTAGCAGTGCTGAGGCACCTTCAGTCCTGGGGCAGTTCTGGGCCCCTCATGACAAGACATTGAGGGGTTGGAGTGTGTCCAGGGAAGGGAATGGAGATGGGGAAGGGTCTGGAGCACCAGGAGTGGCTAAGAGGGCTCAGCCTGGAGATAAGAAGGCTCAAGACAGACCTTCTCACTCTCTCCAGCTCCCTGACAGGAGTTGCAGCCAGGTGGGGGTAGGGCACTGCTCCCAGGGAACAAGGGACAGGACAAGAGGAAAAGATCTGAAGATGTGCCAGGGGAAGTTCAGATTGCGTACTGGGACAATCCTTCCAGGAAAGGGCTGTACAGCCCTGGCACAGGCTGCCCAGGGCAGGGAGGGATTTAACATCCATGTGGATGTGGCACTTGGGGACATGGTTAGTGGTGGCCTTGGCAGCACTGGGCAAACAGTTGGATTCTGTGAGCTTAGAGGGCTTTTCTAACCTAAACCAGTCAATGATCCATATATCCGATTTCATAACAGTACTAAGCTTTTCTGACATCCTGGATCTCACCACCCACTGCCTGTCACCTCAACCCCTCTGACCTCAGCCCAGGAAATCACTGATGAGCTGAAGTGGATGAATGGAGGAGAGACCCTTCTCCCCACCCAACACACCATGGAGACCACAGCAAAGGCAGCTCTGAAGATGCTCTTTCTACCATCTCCCCTTTCCCTGGATACAGTAGGTGTTTTTAAACAGGTACCTGAGCCTCAGCTCCAAGAGGATCAAACTCCCTTTAATCAGAAGTTCAGCTGCCACAGGACTGTGCCTGGAGGGTTTGGGTTGAAGGGACCTTAAAGGTCCCTTGCCAAGGGCAAGGACACCTTCCACTAGAACATGTTGCTCTAAGCCCCATCCAGCCTGGTCTGGAACACTTCCAGGGTTGGGGCAGCCACAGCTGCTCTGGGCAACCTGTGCCAGTGCCTCAGCACCCTCACAGCCAACAATTCCTTCCCAATATCCCATCTCACCCTGCCCTCTGGCAGTGGGAAGCCATTCCCCCTTATCTTGTCCCTCCACTCACTTGTCCCAAGTCCCTCTGCAGCTCTCTTGGAGCCCCTTTAGGTCTCCCTGGAGCTTTCTCTTCTCCAGGCTGGACACCCCCACCTTTCTCAGCCTTTCTCCAAAGCAGAGGGCCTCCAGACCTCTTAGAATCTCCATGGCCCTGAAGGGATGAACAAGTTATTCCTGTTCCACCTCAGGTTTTCTCTCATGGGTGGAAGTGACATAATTTGGTGCTCCAGCCACTCAGGGCCCTTTGGGTGCACAGGGAAAGGACATGGAGCCTTCCCAGCCCCATCCTGACCTGCAGTGGATGAGTCCCTGCCTGAGAATCATAAGGACTTACACTGTTGAAGATCTGCAGCCCATCATGTCCCCCTGACACGTAGATCCGTCCCTCAAAGACTGTGACTCCAGCGGCGCTGCGGTTAGAGCTCATGGGCGTCACTGTTGTCCACCTTGGAGGAAGAGAGAGAGGTTAGTGAGGGTCCTGCAGATCATTCCATGCTTCTCTAGGACTGCATCCAAAGGAGTGTAGGCAGCAGATGGAGGGAGGTGATTCTCCCCCTCTACACTGCTGTTGTGAGACCCCACTTGGAGTACTGCACACAATTCTGGTGTCCCCAACATAAGAAGGACATGGAACAAGTACAGAGGAGGCTACAAAGCTGAGAAGAGAACTAGAGTACCTTCCCTGTTGGGACAGACAGAGAATTGGGGCTGTTCAGCCTGGAGAAGAGAAGGTTATGTGGAGACCTTACAGCAACCTTCCAGTATCCAAAGGGGCTCCAGGGAAGCTGCAGAGGGACTCTTGGTTAGGAACTACAGCAATAGGACAAGGAGCAATGAGGATAAATTGAAAGAGGGAAATTCAGATTGGGTATTAGGAAGAAGTTTTTCCTGTGAGGGTGGTGAGACACTGGCACAGCCCGGGGGGTGTTTGGCTGCCCCAACCCTGGCAGTGTTCATTCCAGGTTGGATGGGGCCTTGAGCAACCTACTCTGGCGGGAGATGTCCCTGCCCAGGGCAGGGGGTTGATCTCTTAGGTCCGTTCCAACGCCTTAACATACTATGAAACCATGATACTATGAACTCTCCTTTCCCCACCTCTTATTTAAACCATGGGTTCTCGCAGCTCAGTGGTGCCCTCGGTCGGCACATCCGAGCAGGAAACTGACGAAAAAGCTGGACGGGATGAAGAACTCTTACTTATTTGTTTCTGGAGAGTAGGACTCCACCGAGTTGAGGGATGAGTTTCCATCGTATCCACCACACACGTAGATCTGACCATCCAGCACCACAGTTCCCATTGCACTGCAAGGAAGAGCAGGACCCTGTGACACGGCTGGAAGTGCTGCCACAGCATCTCCAACACAGTGAATCTGCCTCCCTCGCTCTACAGAACCTTCTTTTCCTTGGATTCACCTCCAAATGGCTCAGCCCCACCTGAGCTCTGAGCTTCATAGGTCATGAAATGTGCTCATGGCATAAGCACCTCAATCCTGGGGGCAGTTCTGGGCCCCTCATGACGAGAAGGACATTGAGGGACTGGAGTGTGTCCAGGGCAGGGAACAGAGCTGGGGAAGGGTCTGGAGCACTAAGAAGGGCCGAGGAAGCTGAAGCGGCTTAGTCTGGAGTAAAGGAGGCTCAGTGGGGACCTTACTGCTCTCTACAATTCCCTGACAGGAGGTGCAGCCATGTGAGGATCAGGCTCTGCTCCCAGGGAACAAGGGACAGAACAAGAGGAAACAGTGTCAAGATGTGCCAGGAGAGGTTCAGGTTGGATATTGGGGAAATTCCTTCTGGAAAGGGCTGTCCAGGCCTGTCACAGGCTGCCCAGGGCACGGGTGGAGTCACCACCCGAGATTTAGCATCCATGTGGATATGACACTTGGGGACCTGAGATGTCTGCAGTTCACAGCCCAACTGCTCAGCTGCTTTTTACTTCCTGACGCCTTTCTTGACATCTTTCCTTGTCCATCAATGCCATGACACACAGCTGGAATTTTCTCAAGTTACTTCTGACCAACAAGCAGTGCCCAGAACCAGCATAAGCATCCCAAAGGTGCCCAAGAAGTTCCACCTGCTCCCACACTGTTCCTTTTCTTCCCCACATATAAACTTTTTTAACATCCACCACCACCCAACACCTCCAACCTTCTTCCAACCTCATTTTTCCCCCTCTTCCAAAGGTCTCTTCCCACTGAGCTGCACACACCTTCTCTTACTGTTCATACTTTCCACTTTGGACCAGGAATCTGTCTCTGGGTTGTAGACCTCCACAGTGCTCAGCCTCAGCTGCCCATCGTAGCCGCCGATGGCGTAGAGCAGCCCATTGACCACAGCCACTCCGACACGGCTCCGAGCTGTTGCCATGGGCTGACACTTCTCCCAGCGGTTGGCAATGGGATCAAACACTTCCACCACGTTCAGAGAGTCACCTGCATAGAAATTTGCTACTCAAATTAAAAGAGGGAGGGAGAGTTGAGGAAAACTTGAGCTAGCAAGGTGGAGTGTGGCAGAGGGGTAAGTGGGTGCTGATGGGACTCCAAAGATGGGGTTGGTACAGGGGTTTTGTTTGTTCTTCTCTAGGAGAACATCTGGGCTCTGCATCTAGAGGGACATGGACAAGCTCAAGGAGTGGGAACCTCATGAGGTTCAACAAGGCTAAGGGCAAAAAGAAGGCGGCTTCAGGGTGACCTAACTATGGCCTTCCAGTACCTGAAGGCAGCCTACAGGAAAGATACAGAGGGACTTGGGACAAGGCCTTGGAGAGACAGGACAAGGGGGAATGGCTTCACACTGAAAGAGAGAAGGTGAGATTAGATCTTGGTAATAAATTCTTCCCTGTGAGGGTGGTGAGGCACTGGCACAGGTTGCCCAGAGAGAAGTGTGCCAGGCCAGATTGAATGGGGCTTGCAGCAACCTGGTCTAGTGGAAGGTGTCCTTGCCCATAACAGGGGGTGGAACTACATGAGCTTTAAGGTCCCTTCCAGCCCAAACTATTCTGGGATTCTATGCCCTATCCTGGGCTCTCACACATCCTATTCCAGCCACCCTGCTCCCACATCAAAGCCAGCATCCTAGGCAAGTCCCATGTGTGGCAGCAGCACCTCCACTGTCCTCCAAGGGGCAGCAGAGACCTGAAAGTCACATCTGTGGTGTCGCTGCTTCCTGGGAATGCAGCTCCTCCGTAGAAGAGTTTCCTTCAACACCTTCTGTTCCCCTTTAAGCCGTGGTTAGGCCCATGCAAGTGCATTGTGTCTGCACGTGTGATCCCACAACACCCCCACCATCCCTGAGATCCCTCCAAGTCCTGCTTGGAGCTATAGACAAGGACACCACCCTCAAATTCTTTGAGGATATATCCTAAATAAACCTCAGCTGGGGAGGATTTTAGATGGAAAACGAACTATGGGCACAACCTTGAGCTTTTCATTGGAAGGCTCAAAGCACTGCATGGAGGAGGAGGAGAAACCACTCAGTGCTTCCACATGAGGGAATTTCACCATCCCATCATCCCACCCAGCTCCTGGTGGTCTTCCCACTTTAGGGAGAGGATGTGCAAGGTACCTGCTGAGTTTAGCCCTCCCACAGCATAGATCAGCCCTGCAATGGACGTGCAGCACCGAGGCCGCGTCTTGAATGCCGGCAGGTGCGGCCGACGCTCTGGCATGAGGTGATAATCTTTTGCTTCATCAACCAGATCCCTGGAATCAAAGAAATAAGGGATTAAAAAGGCAGTCTGACTGTCTTGAGTTTAAGGAACTGGCTTTCCCACCCTGTTAATCCCACTTCCAACCCTCACCTGCATTTGTGGCAGCAGCGGACCAGGTCATCCTGCTGGACACGGTCAGTGAGGAACTGAGGTCGGCACAGGGGGAGGCGAATCTTGGACAGGAGCTCTGGCAGGAAGGACTCCCTCTGGTCCCTGTCGTACCGGATCCAGGCTAAGGCAGCTTCAAACACCTGCAGGGAGAGAGATGTGGGAAGCTGGGAGGTTTGGAATTTGTTTTGGTAGTCACTACTGGTGACAGCTGATTGAAATCACAAAAAATTCCAGGATGGTTTGGATTGGAAGGGACCTTAAGGATCATCCAGTTCCAACCCTCTGCCATGGGCAAGAACATCTTCCACTAGACCAGGTTGCTCCAAGGCCCATCCAACCTGGAATACTTCAAGGGATGAGGCAGACACATCTACTCTGTGAAATCCATTCCAGTGCCTCACCAGCCTCACAAGGAAGAATTCCTTCCCAATATTCCATCTAGCCCTACCCTCTGGCAGTGGGAAGCCATTCCGCCTTGTTCTGTCACTCCAGGCCCTTGGCCCAATTCCCTCTGCAGGTCTCTTAGAACCCCTTTAGGCACTGGAAGGGGCTCTGAGGAACCCCTGGAGCCTTCTCTTTTCCAGGTTGGACACCCCCAGTTCTCCCAGGCTGGCTCCATACAAGTTTCTTTCTCCACATCCATCAATCCTGATCTGTTCTTCCATGGGAAGGTATGTTTAGTAGGAACATTTTGTGGGGAGATGAGGGATTTGCAAAGAGAATTTTGGCAGAGGAGGTGTGACAGAATGCAAAATCCTGTTTATTTAGCGACAAAAATCAGCCAGTTGGGTAAGAAGAAAGGGAATGTTGCTGCTCTACGAAAAACCAGGAGACAGGTTTGTTGACAGGGATCCATCTGTTCCCTGTGGATAACTACACTGGAGGTGCCTAGAGCTGAGCTGGTCCCTTGAGGCTCCTTCCCAGATACTGGAGGGACAAACCTCTCCAAAGCACCATTGGATGATTCCAGATGACAAAAGGATCCTGGTGACCAGTTTAATTTGGGAGACTCCTGAGATCATGGAACTGACAGTTAAAGCCTAAGCTGAGTTGTCCTTCTATATCCAGACGACCACACCAGTGTCCTGTCACTGTCAGCAGAGGCACAACTCCCACTGAGCAGTGTCCCCAGCAGTGCCACTGACCAGGGGTCACACTCTAAGGCCAATGTCACACACTGCAGCCTCAGCTCTGCTCACAGATGATCACCAACCCATAGTGGTTTCTCCTCACACTCATTTTGGGCCTTTCACTGCAATCTGTACCACTGACAGAACAAGATGAGGTCTCTAGTTTATGGTGAGGATTTGGAGTGTGTCACATCACCATCCAGACCCTTTGGCAGAAAAACCTTCTTCAACAGCACCACAGTGAGCTTAAAACACATCAAACCAACATATTTCCACCCTGCAAGGTGATTATGACCAGCAGATAAGTTGCACTGCACTAAAATGCTGTCCAGCCCTAGCACAGGCTGCCCAGGGCAGGGGTGGAGTCACCATCTCTGGAGGGATTTAACAGCTGTATGGCTGTGGCACTGGGGGACATGGTTAGCGATGGCCTTGGCAGTGTTGGGGAACAGTTGGACTTGATGGTCCCAGAGACCTCTTCTACCCTCAGCAATTCCATGATCCTAAAGCTGCTCAGCTCTGTTTTTCCTAGGAACAAGCCAGTCTAGAGTAGGCCCAGGGTGCCATCAGAGCTCTGTCTAGCACCTCTGAGTGTCACTGGGACATCTTCTCAGCTTCCTTCAGACCAGGAATAGAATCAGTCCTATTCCCATTCTCACTGCATTCCCAAGCCAAAACTTGCCTTGGCTGACACCTACACTAGGTACACACCTGCTCTTCAGACTTCACGTTGAGCTCATCCCTAGACACAAGCTCCAGGACGTCCTCAAAAGGCAGAGCCAGGAACTCCTCGGACATGGAGACTTCCACGAAGTGCTGGTGAGTGAAGCTGTTCGCAGCATCATAGAGCACAGCACACATCATGGTCTCCGCAAACTGCCGCACGCCCAGGCAGTTCTTGGGATGGAGCCTGGGAAAGGGAGGGAAGAGGAGAGCAAGAGGAACATCAGTTTCATGGAAGAAAAGCTTTGAGTAGTTCTGGTGTCTGGAGAGGCTGTCATGAGAAGACACTGGGAAGGACTGTTCCCTGTGAGGGTGGTGAGCACTGGCACAGGTTGCTCAGAGAAGCTGTGGCTGCCCCATCCCTGAAGTGTTCCAGGCCAGGTTGGATGGGGCCTGGAGCAACCTGGGCTAGTGGAACGTGTCCCTGTCCACGGAATGAGATGATCCAGAAGGACCCTTCCAATCCAAACCATTCCATGCTTCTGCGAAGCAGCACAAGCCTGGGAGGATATGGGATGCAGTGAAAGCCACAGCTGTGTCCTCCTCTGTGCTGGGAGGTTCCAGCTCACCTATGAGCTGACCTACATGGAGATCTGCAGGTGAATCCATGGCAAAGAATGAAAACACAACTTGAGTGTCTCCTCAGCCCTGCCAAGGAGCCACTGGACAGAACCAGGTGGCTGTGGGGAAATCCACAGCTGCTCTGGGCAACCTGTGCCAGTGCCTCAGCACCCTCACAGTCAAGAATTCCTTCCCAATATCCCATCCCACCCTGCCCTCTGGCAGTGGGAAGCCATTCCCCCTTGTCCTGTCCCTCCAAGGCCTTGTCCCAAGTCCCTCTGCAGCTCTCTTGGAGCCCCTGGAGGCACTGGAAGGGGCTCTAAGGTGTCCCTGGAGCCTTCTCTTCTCCAGGCTGAACACCCCCAGTTCTCCCAGCCTGGCTCCATGGCAGAGGGGCTCCAGCACTTGGAGCATCTCCATGGCCTTCTCTGGAGCCACTCCAGCACCTCCACATCCTTCTGATGTCAGGGGGGAAGTGTCATGTGAGATGACTCTGAGGGCTCACACAGGACTTGGTTACATCACAGCTGCCTCAAAATATCCCACAGCAAAATTCCGCTTCAGGAGAGCTGAGGGAGCACATTCCAGCTCTCCAGGGGAGTCAGAATCCACAAATTTCCTTGTTATTAACCAAACTGACAGCTGTGCCCTCAAATTCAGGAGCTTCCTTCAGACGCCTGGCTGCTCCTGGTAGATTTGGGGGAATTTTGGTAGCTAATCCCTTGATTTGGTAGGTGTATTTAATATCAGGCCATGGAATATGCTGAGCAGCTGCACAGAATCCAGGCTGGGGGATCTAAATGCGTCAGACTCCCTGGCACAGGCTGAAAATCCATGTGGTAAGTTTCCAGAGAATATCCCAGCTTTCCATTTCCAGATCATGCTGTTGGAATGGTCTCACAGCCAAACATCAGTAAGGAAACTGAAAAACCTGGGACCAATTTTAGGTTCTGCCACAGCTTCCTGTGCAGCTCCTGGGCTGAGGAACTTTGTTCCTCCCCTCTAACACACACAGCAGCAGGAAGGACAATTCCTGCCAGGATGGGTTCTGGAAAGGGGAAATATTCCCTCAATTTAGCTTCAGATATTAATTCCCATGACTAGTCAAGGCCTATTATTGTGTCCCAGCATCTCATAAGCCTGCTAAGTTATTTTAAAGGGAATGGGAATGACAGGACAAGGGGAATGGCTTCCCACTGCCAGAGGGGAGGGGAAGATGAGATATTGGGAAGAAATTCTTGGCTGTGAGGGTGCTGAGGCACTGGCACAGGTTGCCCAGAGAAGCTGTGGCTGCTCCATGCCTGGAAGTGTTCCAGGCCAGGCTGGATGGGGCTTGGAGTAACCTGGGCTAGTGGAAGGTGTTGGGGGTGGAACTGGATGAGCTTTAAGGTATTTTCCAACCCATTTTGTGACTTGTAATTCTACAAATGACAAGTTTTGGGATCCACACACCTCCTCATCCTGCTTGCAGGAGACATCCTGCTTCCTCCCAAGCCAGATACACTGACTCACTGCTGTTGAGGGGTAAACAGGAGACTCCCTAGAAGATTTCCCAGGAAATCCCCCTTACCTCTCTCTGAGGAAGATGCAACACAGCCAGAAGACCCCCCAAAACACCTGCCAGGAGATCCCCCTTACCTCTCCCTGAGGAAGGTACAACAAGCATCCTTGATGTTCTGGAGCTGAAGGAAACTTGCCCCCATGAGCAAGGACTGCACGTTCTGCTGGTCTATGGCCAAGTGACCATTGTAGGCAAAGTTGATCAGAGCTTCAAGTGCACTAAAAACATGGAAAAGGAGGAAAAAAACCCCATTGAATTCCAGCTGGGATAGGGCTCTACTATCAGCACAATATTTTCTTGGATCATCCACACAGAATGGAGACTTCGAACCCTAAACACATATAACACTGTGGCCCACAAAGCACTTGTGGTCCCCCTCAAGTTCTCCCTTCCCACATGCTTTGTGATATGGATGTTACCTGGGATCCATCCCTTGCATGACAATCTCATCCTGCTTGCACTCCATCATATCATTGGTGAACATGGCATGGAAGTATGGGATGGAAGCTGCCAACACGATCCGGTGGGCACTGAATTTATGGTCCCCAACCTGAAACAGAGGGAAAAAGGAAGGAGAGGAGATCAGCACCATCCACTGCCAACAATCCAAGTTGATTCCCTGCAGCACAACTCCACCGGCCCAGCAGTATCGAAAGACTCAAGTCAGATCTTGGCTCTGATTACTTCTCTCTGTTGGTTCAGAGCTTTCTTTCCTTAATTTTCATGTTAATCTGCCTCATCCCAGTCCATGCCCATCCAAGCCTGTGCAGAACTGCCCTTTTTTTCCCACTTAAGCAAAATATTTCCCTTTGAGCTTTGTTTTATGGGATAAACCAGCTGGAACCCAAGGAACTCTTTTCTCCTCTTCTCCTCCTTCCCACCCCCTTTTCCTCTCCAGGCAGTTTAGGAACGGAAATGCTGTTTGGATTCAGGATTTTCATGATTCCCAGCATTGCCTTCCCTCTCCCTCTGGGCCTGGAGCTCTCGTGTCCATTAAATATAACTTTCTGGGAGTTTGCAAAGCAAAATTCCTGCCAGAAGGAAAATAAAGAGGCATTTTTGGAGAGCTTTGGTTCTGTCCCGTGCAGCTCAGGTGTGCCTGAGCTCTGCCCACACCATCCTCTGTGCCTGGATTATATGGTACTGTCCTGGATTTTGCAGAATTGCTAATTCCCAGAGCAAAATCAGGAAGTGAAATGTCACAGACTCATGGAAAAACCCTCACATATATACTTGTATGTGACTTTACAGGGGTAAAGGTATATCAACCTCTTCTCCTAACCCAAAACCACACATAAACCATTCCATAGGCTCCGAGAATCGAGAGCTGAGCCCAAATACGTGCAAAATCATTGCCAGCTTCCTTGTGCGGACATAGTGGGATAAACAATCTCTGGCAAAAGGAGTCAGGACTGGCAAAGGAACCCATGGTCCAAGAGGGAATGGCCACAAGCCCTGGACCTGGTTAGTAAGGAATGCTGGCAGAGCAGTTTCCCCACCCTGACTGTACACAACAAGCACAAACTCCAGTCTGGCCAGAGCTTTCAAATACTTAAAATACACAAAATTTAAGGAGAAATTCCCTAAAAGGGAGCAATGCAAGAACCTGAGCACTCCTGAAAGCTGACAGAATCTCCCTGTGCCCACAGGGTTTCCATTTCCTCACACCAGGTGAGGAATTCTCCTTCATCGCTACTAGTTGAGCACCTGTGAGAGATCTGCTTCTCTTCACCTCTTTATGGAGGTGAATTCCTGAGGAGCTGCTCAGGTACAGAATGGACAGAGGTGAATAAATCAGGAGCCTTAGATGCAGAAGCTCTTTGTTTGGGCATTCTTGCTGGGGAGAGGTTTACCCACCACCAGCCACAGCCTGGCTGACCACAGTGACAATGACAAACCATCTCAGTTTGTCTCAGTGCTGCTCAGCCACATTCCACCCCTGAGGCTCAGAAACACTCAACCTGCTCAGCCAGCACTTTTCAGTCCATTCCTTCCCCATGGATGAAGCCATACCAGCAGCTGCTCCTGGCCCAGCCCACTGCCAGAGGAATAAACACCAGTGACGCCACCAAAACATTATTGATACACCTCAGTGCTGCACCTCTTGTATGTTCCAGCCTGAGACACCTCACACACTCTTGGCAGGAGCCAAAGGATGTGGTGGCAGGACCTGTCCTGTCCTTGGAGGTGCTCAGCTCCTCACTGCCATGTGCAGAGCAAGGGCTGAGTGTCACCAGTGTCCTTTTGGAGCTCATCAAATGAGATACCTGCCCAGAGGTGTAGCCTGCAGCATGACTGCTCTGTTCCTTAGTCAAGGGCAAAGGGGTACTTAAAAGTTCCAGGTTATTTTTTTTCCTGGGAGACGCAACTCTTCCTTAAAACATCTTTATAATATATAGTTGTAATAAAGGACTGCAGTGCTGAGAGTCACCTACCAGGAGCTGCTGCAGGAAAACCCCTTCCTGGGTGTCTCAAATATTCCAAAACCACAGAAAACTTGCCAAAAAGTAACAGTTGATAAATAGAATTTCATCTTTTTAAAAATTAAGTGGTGTTAAAACTGAACAGGAATGGTTTAAAGTAAAACATCTACTTCAAATGAATCCTCTAGTTATAACCAAAATTATCCTTACAACTGAAGATAATGCGAACTTCAACAGAAAGGTTATATTTACTCCAAAAACAAATTCACAGGGTAACTCAATGAGGAGAAAAGTTCCCTGCTCCACAAAGTAACTGTAAAATGCAGTGCCCAGGTGGCCAAGAGACCAATGACACCTGGTTTGTACCAGCCCCAGTGTGGGCACAGGCCCAGGGCAGTTCCTCTCCCTGTGCTGCCACTGCTGAGGCACATCCAGTCCTGGGGGTAGGTTTGGGGTCCCCAGGGACAGGGCATGGAGGGGCTAGAGTGTGGCCAGGGATGGGAATGGAGCTGGGAAGGGGGTGGAGAACTTCCAAGGAGTGGCTGAGGGAGCTGAGAGGGATTCAGCCTGGGGAAAAGGAGGCTCAGGGAGGACCTTCAGTTCTCTCCAACTCCCTGACAGGAGGTACAGCCATGTGAGGGTCACGCTCTGCTCCCAGGGAACAAGGGACAGGACAAGGTGAAACAGCCTTAAGCTGCGCCAGGGGAGGTTCAGGTTAGATATTGGGAAAATTCCTCCTGGAAAGGGCTGTCTAGCCCTGACAGAGACTGCTCAGGGCAGGGGTGGAGTCATCACCCCTGGGGAGATTTAACATCCATGTGGATGTGGCACTTGGGACCATGGTTAGTGATGGTCTTGGCAGTGCTGGGGGAAAGGTGGGACCTGATGACCTTAGAAGCCTTTGGACGTGATCTCAGAGGGCTTTTCTAACCTAAACCATTCCAGGATTCCATGCTTCAAGTCTAAACACAACCAATTTCAGCACTGTCCCAGAGCTGAAGCTCCAGTTCCAGGGCTGCATTGCTGTGATCTCACCCCACAAGCTGCCACCAAACAGCCTCATTACCTAAAACACACCTGGTCATGGCGAAAACAAACATCCAGAGTCATTCTGCAGGATTCCCGATGGGATAATGAGAGCTGTGTCATCACTGGGATGAAATTCATTGTGTATGGGCAGCACCTGGACTGGGAATGGTCTCTGTCAGCAGCAAGAGCCACCGAGCTGCTGAGCCACCAGTAAATGGAAACTAATTCCTGGTGCTGGACAAGACCAAACCTGTGATTCCTACTTTTTGAAACTTAATGAGGTCCCTCAGGGAGATGGATAATCTGGGATCTCTGCTCTAAAAACTGTCATTATATTCATACCATCAGCAGTTAATGGCAAGTCCTGAAGGTGCAACTAAATTTCTTGCTGCAGGCAAAAGACAAGACCTATTTTTCCTGTGGAAAACCGAAAATCCTTCCAGGATGAGCACAGAGCACTTGGCCACTGAGCTCAGCCTCATGACCTCTGTTTAAAAAGTGCTGCTCCCTAGCTCCAAAGCCAAAGGATCTCCCTTTCCATGACAAAATAAATGCACTTTCCTACCTTCTGGAGTCACCTAAGTCTAAGGAGAAAGTGGGAGAGAGTTCCTCCTCCCCTTATATCATTACAGGATGTTCTGTTTCATGATGTATAATTTTCAGACCCTTTCTCTTAAGGAAAAAGATGCTGATGGACAGAAAAGGAAAAGGAAAGGAAGCTTGTAAACTGTCCTTCCTGGCCTCAGGGAACACAGAATTCCTTTTAGATGTATCTCTAAGTGGATGAGAGGAATCTGCTCCCTGACACCCCCTCAGCCACAAATGTTAATGAATTCTAGGATACAAGGAAGGTTTTCTCCATAGGAAAATGGTGTAGGTGTCAGAAAGGCATCTATTGTTTTCTGACATCACTAGAACTGAGAAGTCACTCCAGTTTTCTCCTCAAAAAAACATCTTTTCTGACATGACTTTGGCACTGAAGTCACAGACAGGCCAAAGCAGAAACTGGGGGTGTTCAGCCTGGAGAAGAGAAGGCTCCAGGAAGACCTTAGAGACCCATACAGTGCCTGAAGGGGCTCCAAGAGAGCTGCAGAGTGACTTGGGACAAAGGGCCTGGAGGGACAGGACAAGGGGGAATGGCTTCTCACTGCCAGTAGCAGAGTAAAGAGCTCAGTGCAGCAATGTGTGGATTCTGCTCATGCTCCAGGTTTAATATCTTCATATAGAACTAAAAATCCTCCTGGTTTATGTCAGGGAAGAGCTGACACAGCCAAGAGCTCAAGAAAAAAAACACATCCCATGGTAATCCCAAATAGCTCCTGACTGCTAGGTGACAAGATTGAAATCAGACCCTTAACCTCCAGATCTCCTGTGCACAGCAAATTATCTGCTTTCCCAATCTCCCAGCTCATCCAAGAAAACAGATATTCCCCCTCCTTCCAGGCTCTTTTTCCTGGATGATCTCCCAAACATGCTCCAGCAGCACAGCCAGGCACAGGGTTTTCAAGGAGCTGAGGAAATCAGGCAGGCAGCCTGGGCTGCCTGGAATTCCACTTATCCATGGGACAAAGGGAGGCTTCCTCCACCTCTGTGTCTCCAAGAGCTTCATCTGCTCGACTCTGGGGAGTTTGGAGTTAATTTGCTTTGGAAAAACTGGGATTAGAATGGGAAAGAAGCCATCAGGATTGTCACCTGCCAGTCCCATTCGGATTGGGCATGAAACAAACAATATAACACCTCCTTGGCTTGAAATTATTTCAATTTGCCAAGCTTGAATTATATTTGAAAAGACTTTGCTAATGGAGTTAGGCATGGAAAAATGGCATTGGAGTGATCCAAAACCAAAGGAGGAGCTGCAGCAATGAGGAACTTGCAGTAACTCCACTCCCCAAGGATTTGGAATGGCAAAAACCTTCCTTATTCCAAGAGTTTGGCCAAGATTTCTGGAAATGCCAGCCTGGATCTGTCTCCTGCTGCTCCAGCCAGAGTGAACAGGAGCTGCAAGGATGTTTATTCCCCTAAATTTGTCAGTGGAGATATGGGATGAACATTTCTTCCCTGTTTTATGGAGCAGTGCATTCCACAGTCTTCCAG